TTAAGTTTTTTCAAATATTAATATTTTCTATTAGAAAAAACCCATGACATATTTGGAAAAAAAAAAAGCAAATATAATAATTTTTTAATTAGTTTACTTATGAAAGAATAAAAGTTAAAAGGCCCAACCAGGTTCGAACTGTTCCTCTTGTTGATATCGATAAGTCATTTTTTAAAAATAATATTTGCAGTATGAATTGAGTTAGAATAATAAAAGTTAAGTTTTTTCAAATATTAATATTTTCTATACGAAAAAATTCGTGACATATTTGGAAAAAAAAACAAATATAATAATTTCTTTATTAGTTTACTTATGAAAGAATAAAAGTTAAAGGGCCCAACCAGGTTCGAACTGGTGACCTCTTGATCTGCAGTCAAATGCTCTACCACTGAGCTATGGACCCTTATATAAAAATTAAAATTACATAATAATTTACTCTAGTTTATTATACTTTTATAATAAAATTATTGACTATGCTAGAGGGTCTAAAATGTATTTTAAAACTAAGTTTTAAATATTTCGTACTTTTGATAATTTTTTTAAGAATTGTGAAGATAGATAAGTACTTATGTTAGCAAATATGGCTTTTAATGTTCATTTTGGTATAACTGAGTTGAATGCTCCTTCCACTAATTTCGACAATTTTTTTTTAACTATATTTGCATCGTGGGTCGAACTAGATAAAAGTTTAAGGTTGTTTCGTCTATTAAATAAAAGAAGTCATTAAAACATGTTTTTCATAAAAAGGTCTAACACATACTTGAGATAAAAAAGTAAATATTACATTTTCATTAGTTAGATCTTTTTATAAAAATTAAAAATAATTAATTTAATTTAGTCTAATATATAGTTACATTAATAATTTTTTTGATATTACAGGGTATGCAAGAGGGTTAAGACATGTTTTTAGGCGTTTACACCTTTTCAAAATTATCTTTTTGGTGTTTATTTAAGGCTATTCATTAACTTAAACCCAGTTAAAGAACTCATTATTACTTATATCCATCTTTCTGTTTCTCCAAGTTGTCACTATCTTAGAGCAAATCAATTCGTTGTTCTTCAACACAGAACATGAAGAAGACAACATAGAAGCTTTAAGAAGAAAAAGAAGGAACTGGAGTCAAGAATGCAAAAGGAAAATTTGGCAATAACTGTAACGACCCCGGAAATATTAAAATGAAATGAGTATTTAAATATATCAAATGCGGAAGCGAGATCAAAATTTCAGTTAACATCCCTTACACGAAAAACCAAAAACGTACTTAAAATATAAAAGATTAAACTAACTAAGAGAAAAACTCGAAAATAAAACTATGAGTATGACTACAGAGTCTCTAGGCATCCCCTTCGTCGTCCTCCTGCGGAACGGGCTCGGGAACCATGTCTTCCTGATCTGAAATGGTTAAATAAGGAGTGAGCTACACTAGCCCAGTAAGAACATCACGATATCTCACCGTCATGGAGGTAAAGGTGGGTAGAAAAACACAAAAAGACCAATGGAGCATAATTTACAATAAACTCGTTTATTAACATGAAAACCTTTTCCATCCACTTACCTCGGTGGAATTTATGAAAACAATATAAGAAAAATAATAACATTATCATAATCATGGAATAATATAAGCTGTAAAACATAACACTTATCACGCCTCTTGTAATTCAATCATTGTACAACATATCTTTTTCCCATTTACCAGCCTACTAGTATCCGTGGGGGTCCATAGGGGTTCCGCTACCCGTTAACCCTTAACATTCATAATCAGTTTTCCAGGGCCGTCCCCATACCCCGTCCGGTATGGGCGCCAAAACCATGAACCTCAATACCCCGTCCGGTATGAGGGTGAAACGGGCCGTCCCCATACCCCGTCCGGTATGGGCGCCAAAACCATAAGATCTCCATACCCCGTCCGGCATGTGAGACCACAATCCCGGTAGGGTTCCCTACGGACCTGGTCCGTCCACCATCTCCTAGGATATCTAGTTAGGCTGACCCTCATAATACAATTATCAGTCTACACAATCTTTCATTTTCCTTTTCCTCAGTCAGCATCATCAATTCACATACAAACAAGCAAAACAGTAATTCATGCCGAACAGACAACATACAGTATCAGTTTTTCAGTCATTCAATCCATGATTAATAAAAACGTAGTATTTGCACACAAATCTGTAAAATGAACACATCAAACCTCATTTTGCATTTAAAGCTGTAAACAGGCTAAATAACAGTAAATCATAAATCACACTAGACTCGGGCTCCATTAGCAACCTTAAGCAATTTCACACATGCGTTAATTCAAGAAATACCGTTTTATCATTATGAACTTTAATACCGTGATAGGAAATAGGGTGAGGGGTCCTTACTTGTTTTCGGGATCCGAATACGATTCACAGTGCGCCTGCAGGCCGTCCCTAATTTTCCCTGAATTTTTTCCGGAAAACTGAAACACACTAACAGTACCTGCACGTGTTCCAAAAAAAATCCAAATTAGGCCCAGGGCCCCTTTCGGACCAAATCGCAACTCCGGCACGGCGGCTCCGCCGTGCTCCGGCGACAGCGCCGCCGCTGGCGGCGGCGAGTCGCCTCGGGTTGGCTGTTTTCGGCCGTTTTCGGCCGAATTCAGCCACACTCGCATTGGTCCTTGTTAGAAAACAACCCTAGGGCCCTCGGGGGGCCAAAAATCACGGAAAAGCGGAGCTTACCGGCGGCGGCGCTCTCGGGTACGGCGGCTCTCCGGCGAGGTTCGTGTTTTGGTGATTCGGCTTCGGTCAACCTGTAGAGAAAAGAATGGTGATCACGGTGATATAAAAATTGCATCAAACGGAGGCCGGGAAGGACCTCGTCGGAGGCAAAAAACCGAGAGGGGCGCGGCGGCGCTGCTGGGTTTCGGCCGCGTATTCCGGCCGTTTGGCCGGGATTTCGGCCTCAATTTGGCCATAGGAGGAATCAGCGGAGAAAAACGAGTCGGGGGTATGAAATTTACCTCGATCGGCGGTCGAAAATTTCCCCGGTGCGGCGGCGGGTGGCGGCGGTCGGCCTCTGGTTCGTCTTCTCCGGCGAGCGGCGGGCGGCTAGGGTTTGTGGTCTGGTGTGGGGGTTCTATTTATAACCCCTTTCCTTTTGATCACAGCCGTTC